TACCAGTGGAAGTGGAACGAAGCCAAGACGCAGTGGTACTGGTATTCCGGATCAAAGGAAACAGGTTGGAAAGCAGGATCAAGAGACAAGCAAGGAAAAGAGAAGTGCATGGCACAAGCAAGGCAGCGTGCAGAGTGGCTAGAGCAAGAACTCAAGGAACAGAAAGAAGTCAGCAACGAAGAAGAAGGAGTAAAAGTCTACAAGGTCGACGACGGCGAAGTGACCTTCCAGTGAAGCAAAGGAACAGCGAGCAGTACTGAGGCCAGAGAGCCGAGGAAAGAAGCAGCAGGACACAGGAACCGTGGCACAGCCCTTTTTGTTTCTGTGGTGATCTAAGTATAGTAAAGGAACGTCTTTTGTACAGTCGAGCAACCTTGGAGAGGATTGCGAGTGAACATAGGAACATATGTTTGCGATGAGGCAGAGTGTTTGTTTTGCAAGTGAAAAGGAACTGCAGTGTGTTTACTGTTGACAGGAAAAGTCGGAGTCACCTCAGTCGAGGAACTTTCGCTAACTCCGAAGGCGGGGTGTTAAACATCTTGCCAGGAACAGTAACACAGTTAGTGCAGTGCAGTTAATGTACAGGAACAGCCGTCACGCACACGCGACGTGCAAGGCTCGAGACCAGCGGACACAGTGACCCACAAGGAAAAGTGACCGCTTCAGTTTGAGAGTAGGAAGCTTAGTGAAGCCCGTTCTTTAACAGAATGACATCGCCAAGGGTTTTGACCTCAGTGGTGCGATCCCGAGGAATCCAGCATATCGCCCCAAGTTGTCACCTGCTTCTTTATCCGTCTCTGACCTCCGGAGCTCTGCGGCTGTGATGAGGGAAGCAACTCTTCTCGCCACCAAAAGTTCCGGGGACCCCGAACTTGATGAGGCCCTCATGGCAGCCACTGACAAGGAAGTCGCCAAGGGGTGGTTACGAGGACCCATCGATCCTGCGTCGCTAGGTCCTAATGCTGTTCTCTCGCGCCGCTTCGGCGTTTGGCAGGGCGGCAAGTGTAGGCCTATAGATGACTTCAAGGCCTCTGGGGTTAACTCGACGACTTCAGCCGAAGACTCGGTGACTGTGCACACGGCGGATGCAATCGCCGCTTCCATTGCTTACCGTCTCAAGCGCGACCCAAAGTGCCGACGACACGGCGGGCTTGAGATGAAATCTTATGACTTACACAAGGCGTATAAGAATCTTCCTTTGAGCACTTCGGCGGTGGAAGAAGCTTATCTCTCGGTGTACAACCCCCGGTCGGGGAAAGCAGAGATCTACGAGCAGTGCGTGTTGCCCTTCGGCGCTCGTGCGTCGGTCCACTCGTTCTGCAGAACTTCGCTTGGCATCTGGACGATTGGGGCGATTCAGCTGGCTTTGATGTGGTCAGTGTATTACGACGACTTTGTCGGCAACGAAGTCCCGCCACTTACACGGCTCTTTGACCTTTGCGCTGAATCGCTCTTTCAGATCCTTGGCTGGGACACGTCTCCAGACAAGCCTACCATCTTCGGAAGCGTGGCAAAAGTCTTAGGCCTGGAGTTTGACTTGCGTGAATCCTACCTCGGCAACTTCTACATGAGAAATACGACGGCTCGACGCGAGGAGCTGAGAGAAAGTCTTTCTTCTATCATCGAAAAAGGGGTGCTGGCTAGGAAAGACTGCGAGAAGCTGAGGGGCCGCCTGCAATTTGCCGCCAACCAGGTTGCTGGGAAGAAGGCTGGCATCGCATTCAAGATCCTGTCCAAACATCTTACGGAACGAAGCCCTAGCATCGGAGACAATCTGAGGGCTGCACTTCTGTTCCTGAGGGACAGATTTCTTGAAGGGCCCCCGAGGGCTCTGAGTGCCAACGTCTTGCATCTTTGGCATGTGTATGTGGACGCTTCTTGTGACAACGATCGCATCGGTCTTGGAGGAGTTCTTATCTCAGACAATGGGACGAAAGTTGGGCACTTTAGCGAGTGGGCCTCTGATGAGCTACGACTTCTCGTTGGCCCCGAGAGCAAGAACCCCATCTTCGAGTGCGAGTGTTTGGCGGTACTTATGTGCATACATGTATGGAGAGGACTCCTTAAAGGATGCAACACTGTCGTTTTCTCGGACAACGAGGGCACTCGTGCCTGCATGATCAAAGGAGCATCAGACAACTCAGTCGGGATGCGCATCGTAGATGCCACTCATGATGCCATCGACGCCGCGAGCTGTATACCTTGGTTTGAGCGCGTGAATACTGCATCAAACATAGCAGACGATCCCTCTCGAGGAATATCTGACGAAAGCCTTGGTCAGCGTTTCGAAGTGGATGCGCTGAGCATCGCAAAGTCTGCATTGGTTCCGTGGGGATGAGTCAATTGCTGACTATCCGATGCGTGCATTGGAATGCACATTGCGTGATGTGCTGTATGTACATCATGCGGAGCATCACGGATGCTCGAAGGGGGGACCATTTCACTTCGTCTCGACTTACTCGGAATTCCCCGAGCGACGGCTTTCGCCAGACCTTTTAAAAAGAGAGAGTGGGCGCTGCATGTCTCATTGAATTATATATATATTCAACGATGACACATACATTGACTGGAGTCGCGCTTTGCGCAACAAATATATTTCGCTCAGAAATATATTTTGTTTCTTTGGGAACATATAGAAACAGAATTTGGAAATAAGCCACCCTTCAATCGTGATTGACAGGGTATTATTTCCAGATTTTGTTTTGAAGGAAAAACTGGTGTTTTTCCTTTGTTTCCCACTTTTCCGTTTCGACTTTTATCGGACAAATCTTTTCACATGCAAGTTGCAGCATCATCTTTACAACATGTCTTGATGTGAACGAACTGCGCAGTTTTCCGAATCACAGTCGGAAAAATTTTGTCCCACCCGCCCTTCCCGGGGATGAGTCAATTGCTGACTATCCGATGCGTGCATTGGAATGCACATTGCGTGATGTGCTGTATGTACATCATGCGGAGCATCACGGATGCTCGAAGGGGGACCATTTCACTTCGTCTCGACTTACTCGGAATTCCCCGAGCGACGGCTTTCGCCAGACCTTTTAAAAAGAGAGAGTGGGCGCTGCATGTCTCATTGAATTATATATATTCAACGATGACACATACATTGACTGGAGTCGCGCTTTGCGCAACAAATATATTTCGCTCAGAAATATATTTTGTTTCTTTGGGAACATATAGAAACAGAATTTGGAAATAAGGCGGCCTTCAGGAAGCCAAGCGCCTCTGGGCAAAGGGGATTGCAGTCGGGAAACTCAGCCTTCAAGCCGACAACAGGGACCTCCGCCTGGTCCTCCAGAGCACCGTATGCCAGGTCAACCCCTTTGTGCAGTATCCCGTCAAGCGTGTAGAGATTCGCAGCTCCGAAAACATTCCTGAACAAAGGGAAACGTTTAGGTCGGCTTTTCAGCTCTCTTTTTCATTGATTGGATCTGTAGGCTTGGCGGCTAGTCGAGGCTGACAGATACTGCAGGGCAGGGTCTGTCAACAGAGCTGGACCTGGGCGAGAGGCAGCGCAGAAGATGATGCTGTTGCGGGCAGACGGCTGTCAGAAGGAAGAGCTCCGGCGCGTGCGCCCGAAGTAAGGCTGTGAGATTGCGTCAACATACAACATGGTGTGCGATCTCGCTGCCACCAGGCTAGAACTTGGCTTCGAAATGGCAGACGACAGACCTGCAAAGGATTTTTTCGAACAAAAATAGTAGGCCTTTCAGGGCTATGCACTTTGACGCGTTTGTGGGCAGCCTTGATGCCAGCTGCAAGGAAGGGGCTCCGAGGGTCTGAAGGCAGAAAAGTACCTCTGACATCGTTGACCGTAGGCATGGCTACATGCCTCATGCCTACGTGTGGCCGGGCTCCAGCACTTCCAGTTTCTTGACCTGCCGCACCGCCAGGTATTTCCGCTCTTGGCCGACAAGAGCGCCTCCAGGGCCTTGGCCATCAGTATGCAAAGCCATTCCGATTGCCTCAGCAGACATTAGGCTGCACAAACCAGCCTTCGGATCTCGCCTGAGGTCCTTGCCTTCTTGCCACAAGCCTCAGCCTCGGAATCTCCAAAGCCTTCATCGAACATGTCTTCTTGCCTAGCCGCTTGATGCCCAGCCCTGACCCTTTCGGTTTGCCCTCCCTAACCCGTTTCACGCCAGCTGGCCGCCCGGCCTTGCCTCAAGCTGCCTCAGCATTGGTAGATACAGACGAATGCACGCCTTTTTTCACTCGTCTTTTCACCAAGTCTAGCCGGGTGGTGTTTTCCCTTTTGACAGACCCTGCCTTGCAGTATCTGTCAGCCTTCGGCAAGCCGCTAAGCCTGCAGATCCAACACGGTGAAAAAGAGAGCTGAAGTGCTAGAGCAGTGCAAGCCTACTTAAAACTACAACGACATACATGCAGACATACATACAAACACATACATCGTGTACATGACATACATATTATATACTTACATACTTGCAGGCACACGTATACATATATATATATATATATAGAAATATGTAGAAATATATACATATGTGCGTACATGATGTACGTTCGTACGTATCTCCGCAATCGCGACCCCACCTCTGCCAATGCACGTACACCGAATCACGGCTTAGCCAAAAGCTTGCCCTTCATGTTATTAAAGCTGGTGCCACGCACATGGTGGAGCCACTTCTACGGTCGATCTTAGCTGAGCGTTTGACTTGGTGGAAAGGTTTGTACGTAGGTACGCACGTACGTACATACATACATGCCATGCTTACGTACAGACATTCAGATAAATCAGATAAACGTCGGATCCCTTGGATCGAATCTAGCGTGGATTGTCATCGTTTCTGGAAAACAACCAGCAAATACTGCTTCAGAAACACAACCTTTGCGATAAGCCGCGACATTAAAGTTTAAGTTAATGAAACCATTTCCGACGATCATGCGCGCACTTCGCACCGAACCATGTAGCCAGCAAGAATGGTGAAACCCACACCCAAGCATCGAAGCTCGCACGGAAGTGTGCATGAGCAGCCATGTTGAGCTGGGCGTCGTTGCCATCTCAGGCCAAATGATATCCTGCATTGCTTGTGTGCTTGATTGCGGTCTGAGATGCTTGGTCGCTGAGGCGGTGGTTGGGTGGGTTTCTTCGGATTGGTGAGGTTCATGAAGTCAAGTTTGGGACACGGTACACCTTTCCAAACAGACAGCTTGCCAGCTTATGACCGAGGTTGAGATCGAATGTTTGATTTGCCCGCAAAAAGAATTTGTGAAGCGGCATACACCCCAAACCCCAACATGCTCAAACCTGTGCCAGGTAAGCTCATCCCAGTCGGAGCACCTGAGGCCCACCGAGGGTTATCGTGGTCGTAGCAGCAGCAGTGGCAGCAGCAGCAGCAGGAGCAGCATAGTAGTAGTACTAGTAGTAGTAGCAGTAGCAGTAGCAGTAGCAGTAGCAGTAGCAGTAGCAGTAGGAGTAGTAGTAGTAGTAGTAGTAGTAGTAGTAGTAGTAGTTGTCGTCGTAGTCGTAGTCGTAGTCGTAGTCGTAGTCGTCGTCGTAGTAGTAGTAGTAGTAGTAGTCGTAGTAGTAGTAGTAGTAGTAGTAGTAGTAGTAGTAGTAGTAGTAGTAGTACTAGTAGTAGTAGTAGTAGTAGTAGTAGTAGTAGTAGTAGTAGTAGTAGTAGTAGTAATAATAATAGTAATAGTAGTAGCAGCCGCAGTAGTAGTAGCAGTTGCAGTAGCAGTTGCAGTAGCAGTAGTCGCAGCGGTAGCGGTAGCGATAGCGATAGGAGCACGAGTAGGAGCACGAGTAGGAGGACGAGTAGGAGTAGGAGTAGGAGTTTGAGTACGAGTAGCAGTAGGAGTAGGAGCAGCAGTAGCAGTAGCAACAGCAATAGCAATAGCAGAAGCAGAAGCAGCAGCAGCAACAGCAGGAACCCCATAGGTACCATTCATGCCTGTGCAACTTTTTCCTGTATCGTTATCGTGGTCGCTGATTCCGGCATTTTTGTTGTTGGCCAGGAGCACACAAAGTCTGCAATGCAGCTCGGGGCCGCCAACGGAGGCGGAGCATCGTGACTGATGTGGGCTGGGGTTTGGGGTTTGGTTTGGGAGTTTCTGGGGTTTAGAGTTTAGAGGCTACTGCAGGGTTTAGATGGGAATGTCGTCGGGGTGTGTAGTTTTGAGCTTTTGCCATCGAAAGACCTTACACCGCAAGATCTTGGGGCTTGGGATGCACGGAGGCAACACTCAGCTTGCTGCTTGTTTTGCTCCTGGCTGTTGGAGAAGTGCGAAGGTGTACAGGCAGCGAAAGTCCGACGGGTTGGGTTGGTGCTTCTATCACACTATGTACACATGTCTTCTTCGTCGTATGCATGGTCATGCTAATACTTTTCGTTGTGGACAAAGCCCAGATTACTACATGTCGTTCATTCCGGATCATTATGGCATTCAATCGGCCAGGTGCCGGATCATGAGCGCGATCTGCTGGCCAAGCTGCCGCAAGAGCAGCTGCTGCAGGACTTCTGACAGATTATCGGAGCGTAGTTGGGGTTGACGTCATCATCCCATGAAAGCCTTCTGAGGCTTGATATCTGATACAGCAGTTCAATCCCAGCACACCCAAAGCCGCGGGTGGACGTGTACGTGCAGAGTTAAGCCGTTACCGTCGCCCAGCACACGGTCTGTTATTCATGTACCTATACAGTCTTTACAAGCAAAGCATCTTTGATCTCGAGCGTGTCCCGCCTAGCTTCGAGAGTCTCCATGCAGTCGGCTACAGGAAGTGTGCTCGAGCCACGCTTCTGAGGCCCACCTCGTGTTGTGGGATGTTGTGGTCCTAGGACGGTTGATCGTTGAGGAAGGAGATTTGCGGCTTCAAGAATGAAGATGCGGGCTTGTCCGGCTTGTTGTGGGATGTTGGCTGTGGGTCTCGGTTTTCAATGACTGCGAATGACTGTCTGGCCAGGTGCTTTTGCGTTTGGTTCCTGTGCATCTTTCAACAGTGCCCGAAGTGGTGGTGTGCACCTCATTTCAAGATGGGTGATTCGTGGTCCTGCTGGCTTTTCTTTAGCTGTTTGTGTGTCGACTTAACAACCACCCTGACAATGCCGAAATATGACAAAGTGTGCCTCGCTCTCGCAACTTGCAAGACCACGTTCCCTTTGTTCATTTCGATGCATATTGCGCAACACTGGCGATATCCCTTGCAGCAGCTTTTAAAGGGTCCTTGAACGCGCGAGTTTTGATATTACTGGGCGCTTCCTGATGAAGAGAGACTTTCAGGTGCAAGCTGGGCACTTTGTGCGACCCACAAGATGTAGTCACTGTAGTCCCTTCGAAAGAGTAGGAGGCTAGAGCCCTTGCAGCCAGGAGCCCTCGCCGCTGCACCTCCTGGATGTAGAAAGAAAGCTTTTGCTGCTCAGCTGAAGCCTTGTGCAGGCCGCCTTTTATCAGAGTTAATCAGTCGGAGCTTTCAGGGCGCGAGAGGTGGAGGGTTTGAAACACTCGGATATTACAATGAATTCGACTTCTGTGCTGCTTGCGACGTGATATAGCCAGGCTGTGTGCGGCTCCCACGGAAAACCAAGCCCCCCAAGTGTGGGCACTTCGAGAATGTTTGCCCAGCTGACTTTGTGCCACAGCTGTTCTTCCGTTCCTGTGGTGTTGATGAGACTGATTCCCCTGGAGCGATGACGACTCTGTGTGCACTCTCTACGCGGGTTGGCTCTCACAACAATTGGCAATGCACGAGACCGTCGCTGAAGGGTCATGCCTTTGCCCATGTCTTTGCGACGTTGTGCCCAGCTGCTGTCGGCGGTGCAGCTCGGGTGGTACCCGTTGGACCGCATCACTGTTCAAAGCGACAGCTTGCGTTTCCGCTCCCTCTTCGACGGGCTGCTCTTGTGATCTTGCTTGGCATTACTCTTTCCATGGCGAGCTTGCATGCCGGTGGTGCCATGCATTCCCTGCAGCTGAGACGGTTCTGAACACAGAGCTCAGTGACCCAAAGCACGCAAGCATCAGATCCTTTCCCGATCTGTACCTTCTGCTGCCACGTGATGCTGTTGAGTAAGGACCCGCATCTCGGCACGGGTGATGCCTGGTCTTGTCATGTGCACTGTGCTTGCTATACATGCGGTCCCGTTGAACTTGGCTGCACGTGGCTTGCTGCACGCATGAACTCATTGCTGATTTGCTTTGCTGCGTCTGCCTATTCTGGCCCAACAGCAGATGCCCTTCAGGACTGTTGGGACGCGGTGGTTTCGTCGTCGATTTTTCTGAGATGTGTCTTGCAGATCTCCATGTGTGCCAGCACCGGCTTTCTTGAACGAGTAAAGCATGCTTTCCTAGTGCTGCTGCCGGGATCCTTGCACCTCTAGCCACAAAGCCCGAGGTTTAAAAATGCAGGTGTTGAAACCCTCTGAACTTTGAAAAGTCAAGGAACTTCGACACAACTTAAAGCTAATCAGGGGAACGAACTAATGTGGTATACCAAGTAATGTCCACTTGACATACTTGGAAGTCGGCGATTTATGACAGGCTTCTGGCTTCGGCCCAGTTTCCGAAGCTTCGATCAAGCCTCTTTGAGCCTTTGACCTTCTCGCAGAGGGAATGTTGCCATGCTCCGGAAGCGCTTGGGGCTTTGGATTTTCTTGCTCAAGGTCTCAACGTGCGCAGGAGAGCTTTTGACCAGTCACGTGCCGATAAAGCTGAAACACCGTCGCAGTTCTTGTTGGACTCCAGAAGATCTTGAGAAGTCTAAGTATCCAATGCTTCAGAGTGCCATAGAGTATGCAGTATGCATTCCAGTAATTTTGATTGAAAAGATGCTACTCGTAGCATCCTCCCTGTAAAGAGCCACCAAAAAAGGTAGCCATCTGTCACTCCAAAGGGCCGAGCCTTACAAGGGCGAAGCAGAAGCGCTGTTGAGGTCTCCGCGGCAGCTTCCGAGGGCTGCCGTCCTTGCGGCTCGAAGAAACGACTTGGGGACCCTGTAGGATGGGAGGATGCAGGGGAGTGTAGGCAGTGTGGGGTTGATGGAAATAGAAGGTTTCGAAAGCTTGGGATATCTTGGGATACTACCGGCATGGGGGCTTACGCTTGAAAGTTTAGAGACTTTGGAATTGCAGATTCGCGGGTGTGCCTGAAGCCGAGGGTCCTCGCGTCCAGAGGCGAAGGTTTCTGGGTTTTGGGATCTTATAGGTTCAGTCCCCGAGCTGAGGTCAACAGGTGTTTGCGAAGAAAAGCTTTGGGGTGTAGAACTGTCGTCGGCATGGCCCCATGGCACAACCGGGCCACCATTCATTCCTCCACGAGTGTGATATGAGAGTTTCCGAAAAATAGGGGTACCTTATTTTGGGTCCCTATTATAATACGGCGCCTAATATTGAGGTTACCCAAAAGGGACCATAATTTTGACAACTGCCCATATGTGAGCTAAGATGTTTGAATTGAAGCCCTCACACGGAGGATAGTCCCGCAATTCCATGGGCACACATCAATTTGTGGAACCCTTTGTCGCTCCAAAACAAAAAGAGACGAAAGGTCAGCGAGGGTTCGGTCATCATTAACGAGCGACCCGGGATATCATGCAGTGGTATAGCAGTCAGCATGATCAGACACGCAAGCTATGCTTGAAAAGTATGTAATGGTTCGCAACGAATACAGCCGCAAGAGGCAGCAGGACGTTTTTGCAGGAATGCGAAATGCTCTGTAGCTTTTCGCATGAGGTCTTGTGTGATGTTAAGACATAGCCTGCAGCAGATTTCAAGCTTCGTTTATCAAATGTAACTACATCACGTTATATAATACATGGCTTGAACCTATATACGTATATATGTATACAGATGTGTATACATATATCTACGCCTGTATGTGTGTCATGACATATGGTATAACATGCAGAATTGGCTTGCAGTTTTGCCCTGCACGGTAGTAGTCAATATGCAAGGTATGCGACAGGACCGTCAGAAGCGTTTTATTTTGAATGATATGTCAAACTCACGCATCAGTGTGTTACAAACCGTACAGGGCTGCTCTAGCCTTTTATGTGTGCGACACTATGCAATAGATCGGAATTTCTTCTTGTATGCAGCAGCACCCAGTATGTACCACAACAGTAAGTGCAGCATCCAAGAAGGTACATGTCTACAACCTGACCGAGGCCTTTGCCGGAGCCTCGCTGTCTCGATTTCTCAGCTTCCTTGTTGACAGCTTGAGCTTTTTGCATTCGACAATTCTTGCTTAGACCTTAACATCCAGACATCGCAGCCGCCTCCTAGGCTCTTCGCATGCAGGCCGCTCAACCTGAAAGCTTTCGATTTGGGGCTCAATTAGGGTTTTTGACCAGAACTCCTTGCCTGCAGTTCAACCCCAGAAGACTGAAAAAGCAAGACTCCAAAACGCACGCAGAAGAACTCCCGCTGTAGGGACTCACGGCCTTCTTTACATCTTGTGGGCGCTTTTTGTAGTTTGCCGGTTGTGTCGAGGTGAAGGCCAACTCCCTGCTTTCCGTGGCCACACGGGGGACCGTCGGGGCCTTCCACGTCGGCGTGGAGGCCTCTTGGGTTGGGGGGGTAGTCTGGGACATTCCGCAAGTACTCTTAGGGTTTTGGGGCTTGGAGTTTTTGCCGGATTTAGGGCTAAAGGTAGTTTTGCGGTTTTGCGAGTGTGACGAAGGCTTGGGCAGCAAGCCTTGTTTCGATATGCTAATGCTCGGAGGGTGGGCTCTGTGCATACAGAGGGGGCTTTCCCAAGTTAATTCATGCAATATGTTGGAACGGGTTGCCTGTTGCCAGTTACACTTCCGTAGGTGGTCTTCACAGCATCCGACTGAAAGAGGGCCGATCTGAGGTCGCCGGCGAAGGGGAAGCGATGATTTACTGAAGGTTGTTTGCAGGGGTGTCTCAGTGCTTCACGTGGAGTGACCTTTGCCGTCGTGCTTGCCGGTACTGCCATCAAACACCACAGCGACAAGTCTCAACACGAAATTCATCAGAGGCGTGTTTTTTTGAAGCACCTTGGCGAAAGGAAGCGCGCCTCCCGCCTGAAGCTTTCGTTGAGGTCTTCGGAGGGGAGTGGTCTTACGGACTCTACGGTGCCCAGGCCCCAGTGCCGGCTGCAGACGAAGTCTCGGTTGGACGAAGTGCGGATTTGAGGTCAGCGTGAGCCCTCCGCGGCAGCAGACCCGACACGTCTACAAGCACCTCGGCAGAGCAAGTATCACGGAAGAAGAAGAGGAAGCGAGAGAGCCGACGACTGCCCAGCGGCCTGGCGATCGTCCTGAGTTTGAGGGCGACCTTCGTCTTGTGGTCCTGCGCTTCAAGGAATTCTGCTCTGGAAACTTCGAGGGCCCGACCTAAACACTCCAGAACCATTCGTGTGAGAGAGGAGACTCCCCAAAACCAACCCGGCAGTCCCCTCTGAAGCCTCAAATGGCCGAAGGTGCAGCGTTCTCTTGGGCGAGACGGAGCTGAACGAGGCTTCTCGTAGTGGGAGGTGGTGGGTTAGGGCTTCGGGCTTTTGAATCGCCGCTCTCTGGAGGGACACCAACGGTGCGGGCAGGCTTTCTGATCTCTTGGTTTAGAGATTCAGGCCAACAACACAGCTACAATTTTTTCTCTCATGAGCTCTTGTGGTGGAGATGCTCTCTGTCGGTCTCGAGGTGCAGTTCGCAGCGGTGCTGAGGAATGCCTTCCAGGCCCCCAGCGATGGCGGAAGCTTCTTCCTGCCATAATCAGAAGAACCGTTGCAAGACTGTTTGACCTTTGGGCTGGATCCCATCCGTGCTGGAAGCTATAACTCAGAAGATGCTCAGACAAGTTGCGGGGAGCGAGGTAATGTAGATAGCACTGACACGAGTGCGGCTGACCAGCATTTGCTCAAGACTTGAAGACTCCATCGTGCTGCCCTTCTCACGGCGCCATGCAAGCTGCTCTCCTGCTTCTAGCTGCTTGGCGGCAGTTTCGTACCTTTGGTCTTCCTGTTGCGAAGCCAAGCCCAGGTTGGGACGCTGGCGTCGGCTGACCCCTGCCCGCCCAATGCAGCGCCCTTCATTCGGCCAGAAGGCATCACTGACGGCGAGACGGTCCAGTTTGCCAGCCACCGGGCCTGAATTTAAGCAAAGACCTTCTGAAGTTCGCGCCCAGCCGACTAATACATGTGGCGAGTTCGCCAGGGCTCTTGTCATCCAGGCTAAACTGCACTTTTCAGATGCAAGCTCAACTAAGATGCCTTCACGGTGACCTACTACTCTACCTACAAGGTCATCAAGTACAATGCGGCACTGACCACCTTGAGGTCGGGATGGCCGAATCCGGCACTCAGGGGCCAGGCCCCTCCGGATCTCGTGCTGTACGAATGCGGCACGACGCAGCCGACCACGTCCTTTAACGATGTGTCGGAGGACGCGTGGTTCTTCTCCGTCCCCATTTCTAAGCTGGCTTTTTATGGGACAAACCCCGTGCATTTCTTCGAAATGCTCTCAGTGACGGAAGCCATTATTCTACATGACCTCACCTACACCGGGTCGCCCTGCATGCAACTGCTTGAGGTATGCACTCCGGGTCTGCACGCTTCTTCTTCGAGCAGCGACTGGGTGCCCCTAGCCATGGATGCAGACGCCGTCTTCACAGACGCATGGGGCGGCGGAGCGAGCAACACCACGAAGGACGTGGTGTTCGCCATGTCGGTTGACTCAGGCATCCTGCATCGAGCTGAGTGGATTCGCTTCGTCGCCCTGTTCTTCAATCTCGAGGTTACTGCTGGAGAGATCTTTCGAAAGGTTCTGGGGGACTACAGATCGCTGCAAGCCGAAGCCACTCGTCTCGCAGCAGCTCGAGCAACTGGCGTTCCTTCAGTGGCCTGGATTACCCATCAGGGCTGCTCTGACGTCGTGTGTGATGGGGTAACGCCGGGCAGTTGGAGGCAGAAGGCAGACGGCAATTGGTGCCGGTGTGGGATGTTCTACCTTTTCAGCAACTCCCTCTTCAAACGGGACATCACCCAAGATGCTGGTGCACGGCTCCTCCCAATGCCAGGCCAAGCAGCAGATGGCTGCACATTGACGACCAACTCGGATGGCTCTGGGACCTATGAATGCAACCAGGATGGACTGGAGCATTACTTGCAGCACCTCGCGTCAGCTGATGTCATCATTGACGAGACGTACAGGCTAAACTATGTAGATTACACGCTGGATGACTTTGTTTCGAGCTTCAGTCTTGGCAGCAGCAGTGTGACCTTGACGGCGCGGGAAGCACAGGCAGTCTATCGAGTCGACGGCTCCGTGAGCGATCCCAACCCCTGGACGGGCCATGTTGGCAGCGCCTGGTTTGAGCAGATGCCAGCGCAGCCGCAGACGTTGCTCAGTGACTTGATGCACGCTCTTTACGGCGATGCCTTCGCGGGCCCATGCGGGCTTACCTACATGCGAAACCTTTATTCCAGTCAGACCCGTGACCCGTCAGAGCATTCAGACTGCCCACTGTATGATGCTGGCGGCAGCCATGACTGTGCAGGCATCCACGCCTACGAGCATCAAGTTCACTTGTGCGCGATCCCCGCAAATCCCCCGACCAGTGACAGTGGCCCGGATCCGCTCGCTTTGGGCTTGGGGCTTGGATTGGGCATTCCTTTGGTGCTGCTAGTCGTTGGCATCGCCGCATACTTCTTCTGTTTTCGTAAACCTGCCCCGACACCGGTAACTCCTCTCGCCGAGGGTGCTGCAGCCGGGGGTGCTGCAGTCGTGGGTGTCCCTGTGAATGACGCAGCCTCAAAGGCATAGGTCGTCAGTTACGTCGTTTGAGGGGTAACAAATTTGTAAAATGAGGGGTGTATAAATGTGACAGTTTTGCTGGGCTGGCCCATCCACTACGGAGGTGCCTGAGTCTCCGGACTCGGTGTCCCACAAAAGGTTTGTAGAATTCTTCTTATGTTCTCGTGCAGAGCCACGAATTGCCGTCGAAAAAGCGGAGTTTGCATCTAAACTTCCCTCGTAACCGGCTTGGCACAGCGTTGTCCCCGATGGTTCGATCACTAAAAGAAACTCCGCGAACATTTTTGCAAATGCACCTAAGCTCGGGAAACTCGCACGAAGACAGTTCCGTCTGTTTCAGTGAGGAGTTCATGGGCGAGCACTATGATCTGGTAGGGCAGCGTCCCTAGCAGACCAGCATTTTTGCAACAGGTTTTGGTGTAATTACTGAGTGTGTTTGAGTGAGGAAGGGGGCAGGGATTGAGATGGTTTGTGGGTGGAGCTTGTGTGTGGGGGGTACCATTGCGGCTAGAGGCACACAGCGAAGTCTGAACTCCGAAACCCAGACCTGTCGAGGCATAATTGCTGCAGCTTCGGCCGACACCTCGTCAAGGACCGCCGACATGCCAAGCTGACCGAGAAGTTCTCATGCAAGTGTGCGGCTAATGCTTTGTCTGCAAATGTGACGCTGCAGTTGTCGTCTGCACATCTGTAACTGTATATATATATATATATATCTATACATACAGTGTACATATATATACACACATATACATGTACATATACATATATACGTATACATTAAACGTATGTCTGTATGTATGCATGTATTTATGTTTGTTTATTTCTATGTAGGTTGGTAGGTAGGTATATATGTATGTGTGTATGTGTACATTATCTTGCTGATCTACGCTAGATGTACCCCTGAACCCAAGCCTTCAAGCAAGGGCTTTTAGGGTGACCTTCTTGGTCGCTGCTGCAGACAAAGTTCGGGCGGGTTTTCCGCATGCGCGGATGTCGCTGGGCCCCAGGATCGCTGCGAATGCACTGAAGATATTTGAAACGCATCATGTCGGAAACTCTGAAATCTGTCGCTGAGGCATAAGTTTGTGCCCATAAGAATTCAATTGTGAGCAATTGGAGCCAACGATGATGGTAGACGAATGAACCAGTTCTTGTTTTTTGCTCTTTTGGCTGGGATTCCGATGGTTCATCGTTGATAAGGTTATCATTGAAAGTTATGCTCGCCGCTTCCCAACACCCCCTCGCCAAAATCAACAGGCCTTGCTACTTTCTGTTGCTTCCATATAGCCACAAACAGACTGGCCTAAAGAGTTATACAGTTATACCTACATGATGCAAATAGACATAATTTCTTAGCAGTCACAACAGGAAGGCCGGCATCGTCATTATCATCATCATCATCGCCATCCTTGTCATCATCCTCATCATCCCGTTCGAGCCGTGTAAGTCTTGGCAAGGTTCACGATGCGGCTTTCACTCTCTTTCGCCTGGTCTTGTTGTGCAAACCGTTGTGTGGGTGTGAGAGCTTTGGGACGATGCCCTTGAGTTGGTCGGGATCTTAAAACACATGACCAAGGCAGGCCGGCAACTCTATTCAACATCTTGGGCTTTTCCGTGTGGTTTCATTCGAATCGTCTTCATTGTACTTTTGGAGTTTTGGGGGTGGTGGGGATGGTCTTGGGATGTGAGCTTGGTGTGAACTTCTGCTGGTTTGTGGTGTTCCATGTTTTGGGATCAATGCCGGAGTTGTATGAACCGGTATTGTGCGTTTGCGTGCGTGCGATCAGACACAGACGCAGACGCAGACGTAGACGCAGACGCAGACACAGAGACACAGAGACACGGAGACACAGAGACACAGAGACACGGAGACACAGAGAGACAGAGACACGGAGACACAGAGAGACCTAGAGACACACAGAGACACACACAGAGACACACACAGAGACACACAGAGACACACAGAGAGACACACAGAGACACACACAGAGACACACAGAGACACACAGAGACACGCAGAGACACGCAGAGACACGCAGAGACACACAGAGACACACACACACACCCACCTGTGCGTCTCTCCCCATGTCCATGCCTCTGTATGCGTGTTTGCGCGCCTATGTCTGTGTACATCCTCACCTTCATGGCTCAACGCCTGTCTATCCCATATTCATGTGAGCCATGAGCAGACAGGTTAAGCAGCTACTGATTTCGGCGGTGTGCATGAGCCTCGTCGGAGGAGTTGGGGGTTGGCCAGATGCCTCATTGGGTCGACCGCTTGGCTGGATCCTCACAGTGCTTCCACCCTTCCTGCAGCTGGGAAGTATTCATTGAAGACATGCTTTCGTTGGAGGCGAGGGGCTGTCACAGCCCGTGCAGAAAGCCACTTGCATGCCGCCGTGAGACTCCGAGCCCGGTAGGAGGAAGAGGCCGAAGAGCGCGCGGCTCCGCAGCTCACGGAGATGCCGCGGAGTGTTTCAGGGTTTGGATGTTGCCAAGAAAAACCGAGGCCTACAGCCTACAGCTCCACTCTGTAGGGATGTGGGGGCAGGGTTCACACCCTCAACGGTAGGTGTCAGATTGAGATACAAACATCGCCACATTACAGCTGTGCAGACGTGCCAGAAGTGTGGAAGAAAGCCGAACGTTTTGATGGCATATGCTGTCGACGTCGGACCTGTAGGGTTTCGAGAGACCCACCCCAAGCCCTTGCCAAGGCGCGTGGCCTCAAGAAAGCCAGGAGTTCTGCATGGGCCTTACAGTTTTCCAAGCACAAGAGATTGATCAGGTTGCATTCTGCTGGGTCGTTTTTGCAGTTGTAGGAATAGTATAAGTTTGTAGACCTCCCAAGGAGAGAAACGAGAAGGCAACGACAATGGTCGACAGCACAACGACTCTGTAGTGTTGTTTAACGTTCTTGTTGGATTCACTGTGCCAGCAGGGTATGTTGCATGGGACGTTTAAGGAAGCACTCCGATGAGGGAGTTTCCGAAAATAGGGGACCCTAGGGGACCCCAAATATAGCACCCTAAATCGTAGGATCCTTACTATAAGGACCCAAAATAAGGTACCCCTGAATATCGGAAACACAAAAGCATAGCTCAGGTGGGCCGAGCCACCGGGAGGGTCTCTGAGCACGTGGGCATGGTCATGGCCACCGGGCACAAGGCGAGAGCCAAGCGCAGAGTTGACAGACTCATGCGCAATGCATTGGGTTCCTTTGTAACAGCTGCTTGGTGGTGAAAGCGGTCCGTGTGAGATTTAGTTTTGTCAACGAAGTTGTTTGAGTTTGCTATACGACGAGAGGGCTGAGAGATTCGTGAGCGGTGTTCGTTTTGCACTACTCTTTCCAAACTGCGAACCTCGTCATGTTTGTTCCCTTGTTCTTGCAGTTCTCGCGCATAGGTTCGGCTGCGTTTCAAGTCATGCGTGTTGCAAGCTTTTCGCATTGATGTTTGAGTCGGAATTCGTTTAAAACGTCCCCCCCCATTCGCCACCGCCTGGGAACTCATGAGCCGAAGCCGGTGAGCTTCGGTCGAGCCTACGACTGTTTTGATGTTCGCTGCATTCGGCCCACGTGTTGTCCATGAAACCCGAATCCAAAGAAAGTGATCACAATGCTGGCGGTGATTGTGGTCATAGTCAAACACGAATGTGAATTATGGTAATGATGTTAAGGTGGTGATGAGAACCGTTATGATTACAATTAAGACTTTTTCAAGTGGTTTTGATTCTTGCAAGCAGACCAGCACCGAGAATGACTAGCATATCCAGCAACTGCCGCGGACACAACAGCAACGGTTCCGAAGCTCGACATGCCTTGGAAGTGTAATCACGACAGAAGCACCATACTGATGCGGAGTACAAGCGCCATCGCTCATGCCTGTGTCACTGACAACGATCCTCCTCCTCCTCCTCCTCCTCTATTGCTCCTCTTGACCATGAAGATGACGCCACAACAGTTACAGTTAATGTTACTGCAACGACATGGCAATGCTAATGGTACCACTGCTGCTGCCGTTGATGGTAAGGGTGGTGGTTGGGGTGGTGATGGTGTGCCACTGATGAACATGAAGCTCATGCTGGTGCCGACAGTGGTGCCATCTTGCTGAGGAATGATCAGCACAGCAACAAATTTCGTTCCTGCAAGGCCGTGACGGGAGCGGCTGCAGCCCTGCGCTTTGGAGGCTGGGACGATGCCTCCGAAGAGGCTGGATTTTCTGATGAAGCCTTTGAGGTTCGAATGGATTGCCGTGAATTTCAGGTTAACAGCTCACAGTGATTGGACAACCAGTAGAGCAAGCTGACTCCAGAACCCCCTTTCCTTTGAATTCTGGTGTCATGTCAGGAGGAGGAGGATGAGCTGCCGGCGGAGCAAGCCGCAGGCCGCTAGTTTTGGCCCTTGGAACCTTCAGGATGAATCAGGTGTTTCATTTGCTGCGACCCGACCAGAAAGGTGTGCTTGACGGCTTTCCGGCGCTTGAATGCTTGATCTGAAGGCGAGTGTAAGCAAGCCACAGCATCCCGCCTACCTTGAAGTCGAAAGCTTCAACTCAGAACGGATGGGTTTTGCCACCCAAAAGGCTCTGCGGGACCGCCCTCCGGTGGCTCTCCGCCAGAAGCCAAAGCTTGCATCTGTGAAGATTGCTGGGCTGTCTGGAAGTTCTGGGCAGAGCGAGGCGCCCCGCGTCCAACATTGAAGCTGCCAACGAGGATTCCGCAGTGCGCGATGCACTAATCTGCGAGTGCCAACGAGGTCGTGCTTGCAGCAGAACGTCATTGTCGCCCACCAGGCTCCCAGCAGTTGGTAGGCCTGCTGTATCCTGCTGTTGCAATCGCTGAGAAGCCCAAGCTTAGAGCCCAGGCAGAATGGAGGCTTGGCTTATGAATGTAGCGGACTCACTTGTGCAAGCTGCAAGCTCCTGGCAGCGTGTCTCGGTCTCCTGCCGGCTGCTCTCGTGGCCTTGTATTGTTGCACCTACCCATCTAATTTTCTATGAGCACTTTGAGGAGGTTGTACGTTGGATCTGCGCAGACAAGTTTGTCGGCGCCAGGCGAACGGCTGGCAAAGGAGGCGCCAAGCTATTGAGACGAGCTCAAGCCTGTGCGGGTCGGGTTTGCAGGGCTCTAGGTCTTCGGTTTGGCGCGTGATCAGGACGGGGGGGGCGGAGCAAGCCTCCTTGAACCGCAAGCCTGAGACCCGAGAGCGAAAGCCTCCAAGCACGGTCCAGGCAAGATCAGGCTCGGGCCCCGACCTTCGCACCAGGCCGGCTGCAGAGCTACAGAGCTGCGGAGTGAAGTTGGCTTTGCAGGGTGAAGGGTCCGATTCGTGTTTTTTCGTTCGCCCTGTCGGGCTCTGCCGTGTCGCGCTGAAGTGTTCGAGGCCTTACACTTGAGACATGCCACGACTGCGCGCTTTTAGACATTGTTACTCTTTGGTACAGATAGTTCCTGACCCATTGCGCTCAACAGTCCATGCCCAAAACCTAAAGCCCTGCTTCTTGTTTCCATTGCCAGGCGTTGTTGCAGGCGGTGCTGCCCAATGGACACCCCCCGGTGTCGTCGTTCACAGACAGGCCGAGATGGGTGGTTTGGGGCCATTGGGATTTTTCACCTTCCCTTCTGCGCTTGCAGCGTTGGACCTCTTCTGTCTGCGAGGTGGGCTACCCGCCGATGCTCCGACCAGGTAGGAAGCGCTTGCGAAGAAGATCTGCAAATACCTGGTCGACGTGTTAGTTCGCAAGTTGAGTCTGCAAAGCTCTGCATCTGATTGCGGGCAGGGCACACTTAGCACCAGATGCGGTGGACACCTCCCGCCGAGGGCTGAGCTATACGAAATGGAAGGTTCAAGGTTAAGCCTGCCGTGGTTGCTTCAGATGGAAGCTTCATAAAAAACTTTTGGAGCCGATGGCTGCTGCGCCCGGAGTCGGACTTTGGTCTTTTTGGGGGTGCCAATCCAACTTGGTGCGTGATGCGCATCCCCGTTGAATGGTGGGTTTGTAACATCTCTATATGGATGTCTATTGTATGTGCAGCATCCATGCAGCTGGTTACATTGTTGCATTCCAGTCTAGAAACGAAGCTGGGGTGTCAAAGGCTGGTGCAATGGGCTGGTGAAAACACGTTCGGTTGATACTGGAAGAGCAGCGGTCCCAAAGCTTGTCTTCGAGAGCAGTGACCACAGGTCCTTCATGCTGGACGGCTGAGCGAGCAAGTTTTCAAAGTGAGGCGGTAAATTGTACAGTTTCCGCAGTTAATGCTCGGTTGCCGAAGAGGTAGACTCGATTCAACAGGATGTCACAGACAGGGCTTGCACCGCCGAGAAGACCTACCTCTTCGCCTGCTCGTCGCCTGAAGGCGCAGCAGCGTAACGTTAGGATGATGCGATCTGGACAGGCGCGTGCCGAAAACATGATCCCCACTGCTCGAACAACACAAACTGTGTGGAATCAAAGAGAGATCGTTCCCTCGACCGATGCGTCAAGCCAGCCTTGGCTCTTTCAGGTTGTTATACTTTGTATTCCTAACGCCAACAGAAGAGACTGTGGGGTTGGAGTCGAAGCGTGGAAACAACGCTGTGGCGATGCTTTGTATCTTTGCAGCTTCAGTTGTTGATATTGGAAGCGAAGGATAAGCCGTGGCAGAGCCGCAAACCGATGCACATCCTTACAGATGCTGTCTTCAAGTTACCGTTTGCCACGGTTCTCGCGAAAGATGCTTGCCTTTCTCCTTATCGACACGCTTAGAAAACACAGTGACAGTGCTGCCCTCGCCATGTCTGCTTGTTCCATGTTCTGAACCCATGTTTTGCTGCAGCCGGGAGAGGCCTCAAAGTTTGGATCGTGTCAGACGGCCTGTAGACAGCATGGGGCTTCAGCGCCGCAGTTCATCCCCACTTCTGGTGGGGATCGGAGTCGTGCTGCTGTGGCAAACATGGCCGAGCCAGCAGCATGTCTTCCTCGCAGAACGGGCGCAGCCACGTCTTGAGCGAACAGCCGTCGTCCCCGAGTGCCAGGGGACGGAGAGGGAATCGCAGCTTTGTAGGCGGAACATGTTCATGGTCCTTGCTGCTGGAGCTGGGCAGGCAGAGTCAGCTCAGGCTGCGTCCCCCAAAACCATCCTGGTTGCCGGAGCTACTGGCCAGACCGGCAGGCGGATCATCGAAAGGTTGGCCAAAATGGGCGATGTGTCGGTGATCGGCGGGGTGCGAGACACGGCGAAAGCAGAGAAAGAGCTTGGTAAATCCTCGATTGCTATTCGAGGAGCCATGGTAGACGAGGTCAAGGCTGTTGACACGAAAGGAGTTTCTCTGAAGCCTTTAGACGTCACCAAGGATTCTGTTGACAAGCTGGCAGAAACTCTGGTTGGCTGCAATGCACTCATCATTGCCACCGGTTTCGTCCCCTCGAATCCCTTTGCCATGGGGGCCGAGGCGCATGCCGTCGATAACTTGGGAACCAAGGCCTTGGTAGATGCCGCCAAGAAGTCAGGCGTTAGCAAGATCGTGCTGGTGTCTTCTATCCTCACGAACGGCCGAGCCTGGGGTCAAGAAAACAGCCCGGGCTTCCAAGTAACGAACGCATTCGGCAACGTCTTGGATGAAAAGTTGGAGGCAGAGAAGTACCTGCGTGCATCAGGCATCGACTATACCATCGTCCGACCAGGAGGTCTGAAGTCCACCGCGCCGGAGACGAACTTGTTCCTCGGAACCTACTGGCAGCGAGTAATGCTTCGTTTAAGTTGAAACCCATGTGAACCCAACCAGTGCATGAATGTATTCTGCCTTTTCCAATAGGTTCGTTGGCAAGGAGGACACGCTGAACAGCGGAGAGGTCTCCCGAGATCTAGTTGCAGATGTCAGCATTGCGGCGGTGTTTGACGGCAAGGCTTCCAACAAGGTTGTTGAGATCATCGAAGACGACAAAGCTAAGTCATTGTCACAGAGTGAATGGTTTGTCTTGTAGGTACACCTGCCATGTGCGTGGTTGTTGAGATGCATATTTATTTGTTTTTCGCTGCTTCAGTGGGTACCACTCGAAGGTGCCATATCTCTGGGAAGAGCCCCGTATAGCTTTTGAAATATGGACCTGCGCAGGTCCGGTTGCCGACTATACCCGATGCGTTTGAACGTAGGTGTGAAAACCTTGCAGCGGCTGGCTTCAGTGGGTAGCCAGTCTATTCCCTGCCGCTCCTATTGCAGCTTGGAAACCGCAGCAGTCTGCCCAGTCAGTGTGCCCGATGTGGCCATGGTCACTTGAAGGAGTGAAGCCAGCAGCGGTTTTCATCACCTTCTGATTGGATGTGAGTTGCATTGTTGGTTGCCTTAACTTAACCAGGGATTGCATCGTAGCGCAACATACCAGTGCTTGATTGCATCCTCATGCAACTTCGGATGGAGCGGAGCCATGGCCGAAACGAAGGGAGGCCGAGGCCCTCCCTGCCTGCCTTCAGGGACGGAGATGCGCGTCTCACCGCCTGTGCCTGACTTGACCGCAAGTTCCTGAGGCGTGCGGTGTCGGCCGTCTCCCTCGCACTCGTGGCCTTGCTGGCGCTGGGAGTCCGAGACTTGGGAAGTTGCTGCAGTTGCGGAAGGAAGGTAGGAGGTATGGGGAACTCTTGGGATCGGTGCATCACTTGGAGAGAAAGCAGTTGGAGTTGTGGCTGATGTGTTTGGAGGCGAGGCCATGGGCATCCTTTGCCATCGGTCGTCGAGCGGCGTGCCTGAGCAGCAGCGCATCACGTGGTCTTCGAATACTTGCAAGACGTGTCGGGTGGTGTGCCGCCGTGCCTTCAAACTGATAAGTTTCTGGATGTTCTGGCGTCGCAGACTTTCGCAGCTGAGCGAGGTTCCGCCTGGTTCCGCCTGCGCTCGCGGCCGAGGTGCACCGGCTGAGCCTGTGAGACCGTGTGGAAATCCGCCTGTCCGGCTTCCTTTTCAGGTGAGCAGACCAGACGGCTTCAGCTACACCATGCTGTCACCAGGCGCCCGCACCCTATCCCTCCCCAAGACGCATTTATTGTGATCTGTTCAGGGTCTGACGGCGTCTCGCCACGAGATGGCCCCGCCCTTTCGCTGCACGTGGGTTGTGTGACTCTCGATTTTGCATATAGGCGTAGCTGAGAGGAGATGTAATCCTTGATGCTAAGCAGGGTCCTAGATCAGAGGTCCCTCCTTCGGATCGGTCTCATAGTGGTCTGGTCTGATGTACCGATGTGCGTTGGCATGCTTGGTTCATGCATATACCGTAGATGGCGGATTGGGAGTGTTGTCCGGCTGCACGGCAGTTGACAGTTCTCCTGCACCGGCTCCCGTCGCGCAAGACAAACACTTCTCGCCGAGGTTCGCTCATATGCCAAGGTTTGGATAAAGTTTCAGACTCAGCACCAAAGCAGGCAGAATTAGATGCTTCTTGCAGGCTTCATCATCAAGGTCTACAGGCCTTGAAGCAAAGATCCTCAGCCGAGACCTTCCCAGGTTCACTGGTCACGTGGACGGCTTTGACGGGCCGGTGTTTGACTCCTCGGCGCTTCGCGGTGCACGGCGTCCGGTAAAGAAGGCGGCCGTGACCTTCAAAGTCTGCCTGGGAATCGTGTGTGCAACACCCGGGTTGAGGTGATGATAGCGATGTGGTTCCGGTTCGCGAGTGACCCATTGCACCAGGATTACGTGGAAATCGAGTGCAATACCGACGACACATTCGCTGCGGGAATGTGGGAGGCTCCACTGTTGCAATCGTGATTTGTGTTCAGTAGCTGTTTGGATCACCTATATGTGCCCGAGGCATTACATTTGATGAAGGTCGGCGAGAAGGCGGGACATCTCTGCAGGGGCATCCTTGAAGCAAGCCTGTCGGCGGACTGTAGTGCACTGCTGCTGTCCATGATCTCAGACACCGGGTCCTGCAATCTTGCAGGGACGATTCGTACAACCACCTGATCTCAGTTTTGGCGGGGGCAAAGCATCCTTCCAAGGAGTCCTACCGCTAAGACAGCTTCTGCTGACTGTAGAAATTTGGCCGGATGACAAAGGGCTGCAGACCGCGTAGCGGGGTCACCGCCTTCTAATAGCTGGGATTTGGACGAGCTTCAGAGCTGGCTTGGTGTTTGCTCTTCCCAAGTGCCCTTGCTTTCTTGCCTTACAGAATTCGTTTGCATCTCGAGATGTCTGCCCTGAGTGTTCTCGCAGGAGATGAGGACTCCGAGGTGAAGACGGTGCCTGCAGGCGCCACTCTCTACTACGACGTGGAGCTTGTGAGGATTATTCGGCCTTGAAGGCTGAAACGCTGCCAAAGTGCGGTGACTTTCGGTTCATACTCATGGCTGTCTCTTCAATGAGGGAGAGACAGCCAGTGCAGAGGTCCTTAGAACAAGGATCTTAGTGTTTAGGGTTTGTTCCTGGCATTTCCTGGCCTAGCAGCGGCAGGGACGGCAAAAAGGCAGTTCTGTTTGGAGGCAAACGGCAAGTGATCAACCCATCCTTGAGTTTCTGCAGCATCTTAGTGGCATGTGCTCGCAGTCTCCGGGCTCAGAGGTTACCCTTTCGTTGTAGGCCCGTAACAACCCCTGCAGTGCACCCTGTCAAAGAGGCATTGCAAGGCATTGCAAGGCATCTTTGAAGCACGGCAGAGCACTGCTTCCTTCGCGGGAGCCCTTCGGGGTTCCCAAGTCTTGTCTTCGAAGGATGACATGTCATGTCGGGATGCTCGCGCCTGGTACGGCAGCGCGGGAGGCGGGGTTTGCTTGAAACACTTGAGATCGAGACGCAAACCGTCGTCAAAGAGACAAAACATGGCTGCTTGCAGCTCACGGCAGTCCCGATTTGGAAAGACATGTTCCTCATCTAGCTCCCTCGTGTGCCGTGACAGAGTTATCGTCTGTAGGGCCCGTTCCAATCTTGTCGGTGGATGCCGTTTGCTTTGCCATGTGGTTTAGGTCGATTTCCGGAAAGTCCTCGTGCGTTTTTAGTCATTTCCTACGATGGTATGTTCTGCAGCGGCCGTCTGCTCTGGGCCAGGATCGGAGCAGCGCTGTCCCGACCAGCTCAGGCGTGGAGCGACAGAAAGCCAAAGGCAGCTCTTAACTATTAGTAGGCTATTTGTAGAGAAGATGGGTGAGAGGAGGCCCGGCCTAAGCTTGTTGCAGCTCTCAGGTCGGCAAGCTGCTGCGCGACTGCCGCACTACCTGGAGGACGCCGGAATGTGGTGGAAAATGGGGGGGGTTTTCTCTGGCTCGTCTGCAGGATCCACCTCGAGGGTCCTGGTGGCCCTGCCCGGATTGAAGTTCGCTCACCGCGTCTCAGCAGCAGAGATCCGGTGCAGCTTCTGGATGTAGCTCGTTCGGCAGCACAGGTCTTACGGAGACAAGAAGCTCTTTCGTGGCACCGTGCGTGCCTCGCTCAGATGTGTTCTCCGGCTGCTTTGTGTATCCAGCCCCTCAAGAACGACGGCCCAAGCATGCTTGTCATGAAACGAAAATCCGAACGGACGGTGCCGAATCGCCGGCACCACTGCCACCATCTGTGTCTACTTGTCTGTGGCTCGCTCGCACTCTGCTCGCACGGCCGCGGCACACTGGGCCACATCCTCTGCTCGGTCAAGCCGGCGGCTGCTTGCACTGCTCCCTCCAACTTCGAGAAGCCTATTCCCGCGAGGTCTTTCCGGCACAGTTGCTCGAGGAGCGGCTTTTGCAATGACGATGGACCCAGTGATTGCCTGCGGCGTCCCTTTTTGGCACTCGCCGTTTGCGCGGGCTGGGGCCTTCTCAGCAAACCAGCCAGGGCGATGTCGCAACCGCCTGCCTTCAGAATCAAGGGCTCCTCCAAGCCGATGCCGGCTGTCGGCTACGGCACCTGCTGCCGAGAAAGTGCGCAGGGTCAGCCCTTGATAACATCCACGAAGGCGTACCTAGCAGCTGGTGGGAGGCTTATCGACACCGCACAAGGTTATGGCGCCACTTGGACATAGGAGAGGCCATCCGCCAAAGTGCGGTTCCCAGAGACGACTTGTGGGTGACTTCTAAAGTTCGTGTGCGAGCTTGCAACACCGCGGCAGATGTCGTAAGGGCGGTGAACAAGAGTCTGGAGCAGTTGGGCCTGGAATACCTTGACCTCATGCTGCTTCATGGCGGGGACGGTTGGGGGATAGGTCCTGAGCGGGATGAGGCCCTTTGGCGCGGCTTGATTGAGACCCAGCAGGCTGGCAAGGTACGAAGTATCGGAGTCTCCAACCACAACCGTGAGGAAATTGATCGCCTCATCTCAAGCACCGGGGTGACTCCGGCAGTTAATCAGTTGGAGTTTCATCCCTGGGTCCCGGCCGAGACCCGCGATCTGGTTCGGTGGTGCCAGAGCAAAGGAATTGCCGTGACGGCCTACGGCTCGCTCGGCGGTTCTCAGAACAAGGCCCGGGGAGAAGCTGCGACAAAGATTGCAGAGAAGTACGGCAAGACCAGCGCACAGGTCTTGCTGCGATGGGCCTTGGACCAAGGTGTGGCGGTGATACCGGGGGCCAGCAGCGAGCAGCACATCCGCGAAGACTTGGACCTGACAGGCTTCGCACTGGCGTCCGAAGATGTAAAGCTGTTGGAAAGCGTGGAAGCTCCGACCAACTTCACGCGATGGCACAACTGCAAGACCGGCTGCGCTGCCTGAACCCCCCAACGCGGGATGGGATGGCTGTAGCGTTACAGCCTGCCTGCTTGATGGTTTAGAATTGTTGCGAGTCCAAATGCAAGATGGCACCAGGAGCATTGGCATGGTGTGTAAACAAAAGTAGGGATCGCAACGACGAGTTGGCCATTGAAAAGTGAGCTTGAGCAACTCGAAGCATTTTGCTGCGGCCGTCACGGCCCCACAAGACCCTGAGGTCGAATCAAAACTTCTCCTGGACTTGCATCGGATGTACAGGCGGCAACACTGGAGGGATTCCGGATTTATAGTTTTGGGATGTGTTGGGAGTGAGAGAGCTAGCCGCTGCTCTGTTGATACGGTGATCTCGGTGTCTCGAAGACGGTGTCATCCGGGCTCCGCAGCCTTGCTCGGTGTTTGGCGCCTGCGTCTGCAATCTGTCCATCTTGTCTTTGCAGCCAGGCTTTGGCCAAGCTGCCCCTGCCACGGGCCAACGTGGACTTGACAGGTGCTGTGGGATTCTGGGAGACGCAAGTCCAGCTTCTTGGTTGTGCCAGATGGGAAGGGCGCCCTCTCGGCGCAGTAGCTTCGACGATAGAGCAATATGCACGAAGCCGACCTTATGCTGACGTGATCATGACGGTGTGCATCATGCCCGTTGAGCGTCACAGGTCAGCTTGCGAGACTAGATCCGGAACCAGGACTGTGGCTGCTTGTAGCACACAGACAGTTTCTCAGAAGATGACGGGACCAGGACTGCAAAATGTCAGCTGTGGTGTCGACCTTGTGGCCACCGAGGCGCGATCGAGAGTTTCTGAAGCCCCCAGCCCCTCCTCTTCCGGCAAAGCAGGACTTTCCCATACTTTGTCGTCGTCTCCGTCGTTTGCCTCTTCGACAACTGGCCGTAGCTGTGCCGAGGGCCCGGGCTTGGCCCAAGCTCCAGATCCGAAGACGCACCTGCTCGATCGCAGCTCAGGTCACCCGCCTTCTCCGCAGCACTTTGCCGTCGCATGCCGCCCGAGCAAGCAGGCCGTAGAAACCGCCGTGGGCAGCGGATGTTTGTGGAAAACTCTCATCGGGCTGATGCGAGCAGGATCAGCAAGCGCGCGACTTTGGGCGGCCGTGTCCCGGCGGGTGCGGCTGCAGCTGTGAAAGATTTTGTCCAGACAGTGAGGGATGTCTGTGATTGCAGATTTTTCTCTTGTGTCATAGAGCAGAGGGACCCGTTTCCAAGATGCTTTCAGGTCGTCGTAAACTCTGCTCAGCTCCCACTGTTGCCGGACACTCAGGAGAGCAAGTGCTCGTGCTCGCAAGAGCACCAAGGTCAGCGCACTTCCCAAGATGTGGGAAGAGCTTCAACACGCTACTTACGTACGAAGCTGATGAAGCTGTTACCACCATAGGGACAAGCGGCTCTTTATTATAGCATTATCCTACTTGAGTCATACATTCATCAAGACTGCTATAAACAGCAAGCGCTTTACCAAACTCTGTTGCACCAGAGAAAACCATGTAACACCTAATCCGCTCGTCAGACCCTTTCAAGCAAATTCAAACGTCGCTAGTGAGCCTCCTGAACAAACATAACTAAACCGCCCTCACCCCCAACCCCCAATTAAGTTGCGCGGAGGTCGTTGGCCTTCGCTTTACCTCGGCTGCAGAGCCTGGGACACTTAGCCAAGGTCTCCGCTCTCAGCAAGGCGCCCGCAGTGTGTGGTAGGAGGTTCGATGCTATTCCCGAAAGCATCGCGAAGGGTTCTTCCGTGCGGAGCCCTCGAGAGAAGTACATAGATGACAGACATAGAATCGACTTACATGACTCGATACCTTACTTGACTCACTGACTTGACTCTATCACGAAAGCTAGCTCTGTTGAGCTCGCGGGAGTTGCCCTTTAGCAATTTTCACTTGGTCTACCTTGTATTAAGGCACTAGGGCAAAACCAGGGCTTACACCTTATCAGGTGGGACGTCCAAGAGTTAAGGTGGGGGGGTGGGGGGGAGGAGGGGCCGCCCCCCCCCTCACCTCGCTCATGAAGCATTTTGAAGAGACAAGGTGTGGTTTCCCCCCGCCTCCCCCCCCCACCTTTAAGGGGGGGGGGCTCCCCCCCCCCCTACCCACAGGTCCCCCCCCCTCCTTCCACAAGGTCCCTGACACCGGCGGTCATGTACGCACGTGGCCGAACGATGCGCCCGGAACACCGCTGCAGACCTTAGCGCGACGTCCTGAGCAAGCCGCGCGGATGTGCACGAAGAAGAAGTTCACTATCATCAACGGCCGGAAAGCCCACGCGGTTGATAATTTTGTGGGCGAGCGCTTCTCCCTTGTCTTCTTCCGCTTGCTGCCGCGCTGGTTACGGAAATGCACGCGTTCCGTGCAGATCCGCAGAGCCCTGCACGATCTCAACTTCCCGCTGCCGCCCACGCCTCCTCAGAGATCCGGCCAAACTGGCGGCCTGCGCCTGGCAGGCAATACCAGCAGCGCATCAACAGTGAATCGAAAAGTCCAGCACATGCGCACATTCTGGCAACGAGAAGGCACCTGGCCGAGCCGCCGAGAGTCGCAGCGCCGCTGGAGCGTCAGCGGCAACCTCTGGCACCGCGCCAAAAGGGCTGCCGGTGCCTGACTGGCAGTTGTTGCCAGGACAGCTTTCGGCGTGGATCCTCTGCTGTGCCAGCGACCTGCTCGAAAAGCCTCCAGAGATTCGCGAACACATGAAGCCCCAGGGATCCCTCCGTTTGCCCCGCAGACATGGTCGGCTATTAGCACCTTCACTACAAATCAACTTGCACTCCAACCGTAACAGAAACTTGTAACCAGCACGAACCTCCAGATCGCAATGCCAACCCGGTCGTTCCCGTTACAGCATGGCGGCAGCACCTTCTAACAGAATCTGGCCTGTTGGCTTCTAATATTACGTCTTAGGGTTACAGAATTTGGGATTGAAAATCCAAAGTATCTTTCAGCCAGCTGACACTCCATGAAACTGAACCGAACATACCTTGTCGCCTCGGCCTCGTGTTCGACAGTACTCTCATGTCACATGTGTCCCCCGCCTTACTCAGCCCCAATTGCTCGCAGCTACGCTTCCTCTCCCCTAGCTTTCGTGGCCCTCTTCTCAAGTACCTGACTTGACTCTACACTTGACACTTGACTCTATGCTATCTCTGTTGAAGCTCATAGCACTTGAACTCTGTTCTTACGTTTACTTACTTACTTACTTACTGAATTTGAACTACTTACTTACTTACCTTACTTGCCTACTTACTTACTTACTTACTTGACTCTACTTACTTACTTACTTACTTGACTCTATGCTATCTCTATGCTATGAACCTGACTTTGACTCTATGCCTCTATGACTGACTCTCTATGCCTCTATGACTTATGCCTCTAATGCCTCTATGACTTACTCTCTACATCTCGCTATCTAATCTCTCTTCTAAACCCAGCGGTGGCACCGTCGTCGTCCATCGGGAATGCAACCCTTCACAAGGATAGGTCATTGGGGTTCTTAGGATTCTAGTTCATGTCTTGCTTACGTTCATTCTCCTACCTTCACTCACCTCTCCAGTTAATTCCTGATGGCATGCTTTTAATGAAGAGAAAACAAGGAAGTGAGGAACGAAAGGACGCGTGTTTCACTTCATTAAAACACATGACACAGAGAATTAGTACTGGAGATAGGTGTAGAGGGATTTGTACTAGATTCTAGTTGTCTCTCAAGGACCTATATCTTTCTTACCGCTCTTCGCTCCTAAATCCTAAATCCTGTTCCGTTGAAATTAACTGGCGTCTGCTTCGTTTAATTAAATTACAATGGAGCGAAATGAAATGGAGTGAAGCGTGAATTTAATTCAACGAAACAAAGAGACGCCATTTAATGAAACGAAACAGTAGTGGAACTCTCGAGCGCCCAAACGCTAGGTAAAGTTACACATTTTAGGCGTCCCGCGCAACCCTTCCCAGGGATTGGCCACCTCGAGCGCCCAAACGCTAGGTAAAGTTACACATTTTAGGCGCGCGGCGCAACCCTTCACAGGGATTGGAACTCTCGAGCGCCCAAACGCTAGGTAAAGTTACACATTTTAGGCGTCCCGCGCAACCATTCCTAGGGATTGGCCACCTCGAGCGCCCAAACGCTAGGTAAAGTTACACATTTTAGGGTTCCCACGCAACCATTCACAGGGATTCGCTTCCTCGGGCGTTCAAACGCTAGGTAAAGTTACACATTTTGCGGGCGCCGCGCAACCCTTCACAGGGTTTGGGTGCATTGACGTGCATTTTGCAACCCTTCACAGGGATTGGCATTTTGCAACCCTTCACAGGGATTGGCATGGTCGAACGCACGAACGCTAGGTAAAGTTGCATTTTTTTATGTGCATTGAGATGAATTTTGCAACCCTTCACAGGGATTGGCGTGGTCGAACGCACGAACACGAGGTAAAGTTTCATTTTTTATGTGCATTGAGATGAATTTTGCAACACTTCACAGGGATTGGCGTGGTCGAACGCACGAACGCGAGGTAAAGTTTCATTTTTTTATGTGCATTGGGGTGAATCTTGCAACCCTTCACAGAGATTGGCGTTGTCGAGTGTTCGAACTAGTACTAGGACTACTACTACCACTACCACTACTACAACTACTATTACTACTACTACTACTGCTACTACTACGACTACTACAAAAGAATACTACTACTACTACTACTACTACTACTAGTACCACAACAACAACTACAACAACTACTACTGCTACTACGACTACGACTGCGACTACGACGACGACGACGACTACTACAACTACTACGACTATCACTACTATCACTACAACTAGTACTGGTACTGCTAGTACTATTACTACTACTACTACTACTACTACTACTGCGACATAAAGTGACCATGCATAGAGTCATAGAGTCACGTTGAAACCACAGTAATCAGGGATGTCCATATAGTGAGGTTCCGGAGCTAGGAAAGGAAGACTTCTGCGTCATGTTGGACTGTACCCTAAACCCGCTAAACCTGAACATTAGTGTTCATAGAGTGAACTACATCGAGTCAAGTGCGTGGCACATAGATGACTCCATGACTCTATGACTCTTTCTCACTCTGACGCTATGACTCTATAACACTGTGACTCTATGATTCTGTCTCACTGTGACTCTATGACTCTTTGAACTATGACTTGTGCTTGACATGTACTCGACTCTATTTCTCGATGACTCTATGAACTATGACTTGTACGACTCTTGACTGTATGTGACACTCCGACTCTGTGACTCCGTGCTTTTGACTCGGTGACTCTATGACCCTATACACTGGATTCTATGACGTAGCACAACACTCTTCGCTGATGATGCTTTCGGGCCAATTGTCTTCTAGTTTTTTTTTGCGCGGGGTTTAAGGGAGGTTTGGGTTTTCGGGTGTTGGATTAGGGTTTTCGAGTTCAGGGTTTTAGGGTTTGGGTCAATTATAAGGTTGGGTTACGGGGCTTTTTGAAGTGCACAGTACTCAGTAGATTCTTGCAATCTGAACTGGCAACAAGCATTACACCGTAATGTATTCTAGTCAAAACTGCACTATATCGCACTAGATCATAGCATGTCAATGTTGTGTTGTGCTAGAGGGTTTAGGGTTTCGGGTTATGGGCCGTTATGGGTTCAAGCTTGCGCAACATGAGACGTATGAGCCACGGTTTTGAGAGCGTCAGGTGGTCCGCGGTCTGGCCAGACAGGCCCAGGCCTCCTTGCTTCCAGAGCGCCAGGACGCCTTCTTTGCTGGGAGTCCCACTCTTCCCCTCGCTGAACCCGACCCTACATCCACACCAAAGGCCCCGAAACCCCAAAGCCAAAACCATAGCACCCCCAAAGCCCCAAAGTCCGAGTCGGCCAGGCGGCCAAACGATGCTTCTGTGCATGTTAGCTGTTCCTCTTCATGCTCGAGTGCAACGTACTGGAATCGAAGCTATAGCCAGACTGACTGAATGCCGTTCTAATGGGCTGGATCCTCCGGAACGAACGCCTGGCAGTTGCAAGTGATTTTGAGGCTAGGGAGGTCTAGAGCTTCGGCATCGCAAGCCTGAAGATTCAAGACACCCCAGTCCACACTAGCTACGCTCTCTTTCGGGGCTCTGCTTCGCGATGGCAGCACGGAGCTTTCCTCGCATCTCACAGGCTGGAGCTATTGCGCACCTGAGACATACATGTAGGCTTCCTTAAAGCTGGGAGGGGAGGGGCAGCTTCGTTTGGAGGTTCGGGCCTACGTGTCCGAGAGTGACGACAAGCAGCATGTGCAAGGCCGCGGGCTCACAGCCACAAGTCTAGTCAATTCGGCGAGGCCGCCCCTCTAATTTCGACACCGCTTGACAACACTGGGCTGGATGACGACTCAGGTGCGGACTGCCACGATGTTGCTGACAAGCATTGGATAAATGGCAATCTCCCTTTGGATGCCAAGTCCTCGGATGCAGCAGAACGCGATCACCTTTCAGCGTTGAGTCCTTGCTTACCCTGATCGGTGGTTCTAGACCTAGTGTTGCAAGGATCGACCAGAGTGGGCAAGCGTCGCAGTCGTAGGACATGTGTAACATGGTATGCAAGACAAGCAGAGCCTTGAAAGCAATCAGGAAATTGAAACGCAGATGTATTTATCTTGTCGAGCGGCCTTTTGAGTGTTTGGTTCGGCTGGGTCTCATGCCGGCAGCCAGGGAAGGGCCATAATTCTATCGTCCCTGCATCGACCTGTCCGCAGAAGGGTTTACCCTTTATGTGAGTGTCCGACTGTCTGCATATGTCTTTCTGCGCTGCTTGCGCAGTTCGGTTGCTTCGGCATCTTGAACTTCAGGGTGTCATGCTGGCAGTTGAAAGAAACCTTCAGGATGAGTTGCTGCCCATCGCGAATCCAATGTGTCTTGGCTATCTCTTGGTGTAGGATCGTCCTGCGTCCAAAGGCCGCAGGCAATCAGCGAAACTAGATTTCGGAGGATGCTTAGGGCTCGACCTGCAGTGGCAGCCCCACAAGATTAGGTGCAGAGCCTTGTGCGGAGGTCTGTCCATCCGCCGTACAAGCGCCACCGCAAATCTTGGGGTATCAATGCCATGGGCAGCATGGTTGTGGAGGCCGCTCAAAACGGTGCGGTCACATGTCGCAGTGAGCTTTTCTATGCAAGATCTCAGGGAGCGAGTTCGTTAGTTCGTTGGCATCATGTTTTGCTGGAGGTGGAAGCCGAAGATGGCACCACCGGAGTCGGCGTGACGATTGGCCGTGGACTCGGAGTCAGATTTGGATTGGGCATTGGCTGGACTCCGACTGCTTGGCGAAACTACAGTAGATGTAGCTGCTAGCTACGTCAGACTAGGCATGTTGGAGGAGTTTACAGCTCCGTGCGTTTTGGTATTGGTGTATTTCCACAAGCACGCCGAGATGTTTGAGATAATATCAGCCCACGAAGCCCGACCTTTGGATCATGCAGCGCCGGAGGTGGCTAGGATTAGGAACCTAGCAAGGATGGCATTGAAGTCGTAGAGCAAGCGAGGAAACTGCATCCACGGAACGTGACATCTCCACCAGCTGCGGGTGTTAGGCTTCGGTAGCCAGTGCTAGGACACATTTCGTCTTCCTGGAACGGGCCGTGTCTCTTCCCGCGGTTGTGACGAAGGTGGTGAAGCGGGATGCTACATCGTCGAGCACCATCTCAGCCGCTTTGTTGAGGGTCAGGCACGCGCGGACTCCCAAAAGACTTCGTCTCGAAGCCCTTTCTGCGCTAGGACCCGCGAAATGTTGAGCTCATGTGGGACCAGATGTTCCGTGCTACGGTTAACTATGGCCGCAAAGGCAGGTTTCTTCCTTTGCAGCCTTTCGTTTCTGAGCGTTGCTTGGTGCGCTCTGGGAATGAGGCCTGCCTTTGCAAGCGATCTCCGCTGTCGATCTAGCTCTCTGGGATCTTTTGGGAAAGCTTCGTCGGGAGCAAAGAGACTGCATAGCAGAAGCTTTGTTGGCAGAGCCGAGCCTGCAAGGCCATGAACCCGTCTACATGCCTGGTCCTTGGAAAAGCAGACAGAATGGTTCAAACGGCGTACTGCCTTGCTTGAGGCTCTTAGGCGGGGCCACGAAGCCCTTCCTTCCCATGTACACCACGACTGCGCGACCAGATGCAGGTGGCTGAGCTGTTTGAGCTCGACTCGCTCGTCTCTGACATGCTTTTCCCCCTCTTCAATCCGGAGGTTGGGAAGCAGCTCGGCTTCGTCGGCTGCAAAGTCCCATGCCCCTTCGGACCGGCTGACGGGCACGAAGGCTTCGCGAAGAATGCCGGTGCCTCACCGAAAAACCCACGGACAGCGACCTTAAGCCGGGCTTGAATTCGGAGCTTGGGGTGTGATGGAGCGGTCTCACACCGCTCACCATCATCACCATCTTTGGCAATTTTTGCCATCACCATCGTCACCATCTTCAGGTTCACCCGCTTGATGTCACCATCGCCACACGACATAGCCAGGACACGAAGCAGCAAGAGCATCTGGCATCAGCTTTGCATCAGCATCATCATCATCATCATCTTCTTCTTCGGAAGATTATACCAGTAGCATCAAGACCATCGTTGCAGTCCTTGTTCGAGTTTCAGAGTTTTCTGCCACAGAATCGCAAGGACTGCCATCATCATGATTGTCACTTGTAAGCGTCTGCTGTCCCTCGGTCCAGCCTTCCTCCCTCGCCCCTGCCTCCCTCCGCGCCCACGCACCGTCTCACCCATTCACCCGACCACACACATTCTCAATGTGACTCATGCGACAATTCCTTGCCTCGGGGATGGGATGGTCCCCGCTGAACCACCGGAGCCAACTGTGCTCAGATTAGCTGTAGTACTCGCCACGCCCGGCCGTGAATTTGTAGCTGGAGCACCTGCTTTCGCTACCACAGGGTCCGGAGAAAGAGAGGAGACCAAAGGAGCTGCAGGTAGGCCATCAACTTTCTCTTCCTCACCCTAGCGGTGAAGCAGATATGGCACTAATGTTAAAAATATGTACATCACACGCACATAGACGTGTGTGTGTATGTATATGTGTATGTGTGTGTGTATGTGTATGTGTATGTTTATTTTTATGTGTATGTGTATGTGTATGTGTATGAATACGTGTATGTGTATGTGAATGTGAATGTGAATGTGTATGTGTATGTATATGTATATGTATATGTAGATGTAGATGTAGATGTAGATGGATATGGATATGGATATGGATATAGATATGTATATGTATATGTATATTTATATGTATATGTATATGTATATGTGTGTATCCTAGGGCTTTCGGGCTTTAGAGGGCCAGCAAAGGGGTTTGATAGGATTTCTTTCGAGGAACCGTGATACGAGGACTCCTTAAAGGAATTCATAAGTTCATCCTGCCTTCATTGTTGCAAGACTAGTTTTAGTGAGTAGGGTTCAGAGGAAGTATGCAAGAAAGCCGGGCGCGACGGTAAGCCCATCTGCACAATACAAAGGACAAGAGACTCACACATTGACTCACTCTGCCCTCACTCCCCGCCCTAAACGCAGCTCATTCCAATCCTTCTGTTCGCACTCGTCACGCTTAGCCAGTCCCTTGTTCAAGCCGCCCTCGTCCATCCAGTGACCCACTCATGTGTATTCTTTGCTCATGCGCTCACTGATGGGCTTACACACCCATGTGATTGTGCGCTAGACTCGTAAATCTGCAGTTCGCATCATAGGATGTGGCCCATCCAGTTGTTTACTCAGTCAATTTAGTCAGTCATTCAGTGAGCCAGTCAGTCCGTCACTGAGTCATTGAGTCAATCTTTCTCTCGCTCTCACTGTCACCCTCACTCACGCCCTCACTCCCACTCTCAGTCTCACCCTCACTCTCACCGTAACCCTGACTCTCGCCCTCGCCCCCACTCTCACCCTCATCCTCACCCTCACTCTCACGCTCACTCTCACTCGCACTCTCACCCTCACTCTCACCCTCGCTCTCATCACTCTCGCCCTCACTCTCACTCTCATAGACTCATCCACTCACGTCATCATGCTTACCAGATCGTACCAGTGCACTGCCATCGAACTCGCTCCACTGGTGCTCTTACTTGATCCTGTCCACTGCTGTGGTGCTAGCCTTGCATTGCACTGTGCCCCGTTCTCTTTCGCTAGCCTTTGCTGGTCACTCAAATTTGATCCAAAGGCGCGTAGGCCATCTACTGAGTACTGACGCAGTTTTTGAAGTTCTTTCCAACTGCTAGCTAGAGCTGCATGGCTTAGTTCACAAGCTCGCATACCAACATCACTGACTCCAATGTCAAAGTTAGCCGCAAGGTCAAATACCTCAAGAAGCCGGGAGGCCCAGCAGAGCACTCTCGGCATCTTGCCGCTTTCTGGAACTAGAATGCGTGTCTTGTGGGTTAGAGGCCCCCTTCGAGAACAAGCGTGCTGCTGATGTGAGTGAAGGAGCGAGAGCGCTGTAAAGCTGCTACTTGTAAGGTGCCGACAGGATGTTGGCGAGGACTGTCCGCACAGGGGTGCGTGCAAGGGTCAGATAGATGGCGTAAACGCGAGGGTGAACTCGCGATGGCCTGGGGCAGCTGAATAGAATCCTTCGCAGTGTTGCTGTTGCCTTCGAACTGCCTAGATGTTTGGTGAGGGGTTCCCGCTCATGCTGGACTGCTACATGGCGCTGTCAGTGCGGTCGGCCCAGCTGTGGCAGTGTCCTGCTTGGGAAGTTGCCCAGTCGATGCTTGGGGCGTTTAGGGTGTTAGCAC